AGTGTGGGGGCACAAACTTGGGTCTGAACATTTGTTAGAAATATCAGTTGGAACAATAGGTAGCAAACTCATAAAATTGGGGTCAGTCTTTGTTAATAATGGTCAAGTTAACAGAGATCAGGTAAGCAGAAAATGCTGTCTGTATTATATTTTAGGAGTTCAGTAGCATTAATATTCACTGGGAGGCTCTGGGGAATAACAGCATTGAAGTTCTGTGCGGCAGGCAAATGGAGGAAGAAATAGTCTTCCAGGGCCTGTGTCTAGATGCTGTAAACACTGTCCTGCCTGACCCCTGCTTGGAAATGGGGTCCCAGAGAATAATTCTGCTAAGCAAAGATTATAGAACATCGCACAACCTTCAGAAACTGTGGGGATTCCTATAAAATTCTGTCACAATAATAATTACTATAAAATGTTCACACAGAACTTGTAGCGTACAAACTGTTAAGAAACTCTTAGAGGGGCGCCTCGGTGGCTCAGTTAGTTAAAGCGTCTGCCCTCAGCTCAGGTCATGATCCCGGAGTCCCCGGATTGAGCCCCACGTCAGGCTCCCTGCTCACTGGGGAGTCTGCTTCTTCTTCTGCCCCTCACTCCACTCATGCTCTCTCTCTCAATCTCTCTCTCTCAAATAAATAATAAATAAAATCTTTAAAAAAAAAAAAAAAGATGTTTTTTTTAAAAAACAAACTCTTAGAAAAAGGGCTAACAACTTTTTTGCAAATTCTTAGCATTTATAATTAGAAATTTTAAATTAGAAGTTTAAATACACTTAAATAAGTAATAAATTAGAAATTCAGACTTGGGAGTGAAGGCAATCATGAGAAAGAAGCCCTACCGCGAAGTATGCCCTACTTTAAGAAAAACACCAATTGGAATTTTCACCACAGTTCAATTAGATATTTATTCTTTCAGCAGACCTGTGATAGGTCTGTGTAAACTTTGGGCATGCAGAGGGGAAACAAGTAGACACAGTTCCCACCCTCATATTACTTAGAAGGCAGGTAGGGTATTCCCACGGATATACAAAACAGCATGCCTAAACACATTCCTAATCACAAGCAGCCAAAAACTCTGGAGGAAAAGGTGTGATGAGAGAATAGAGGGATTTCAACATCAAAAATTCATAATTTGCACTTTTCCCCCAACTCTAGTTATCACTGGAACATTCCTGTTTAATGTCTGGAATACCGCACCAGTGATCCTTGGTGGGCTCACTCCAGGGAAATTGATTCATTTAAATTCACTTAAGGAGCTGTTACACAAATCCTACATTACACTTATTTTTCTATTGAGTAGAACCATCTCTTAAAATAAATTCCTGGGTTCATATTTTGAATATTTAATATTTGCAGCCAATTTTAAGGGCTCGCCTTATTATAAATGATTAGTGGTTGTTTTTTGTTTTTGTTTTTTAAACAAGGTAGCTCAATAGCATTATTAGTTTGTCTTCAGTTCCTTGATACCTCCTTTTCTTTGAAGAACTTGTCCTTCTCCCTGCCTTAGCCACCCACTTTCTCTGGTCACACTGCTAGATCCTGGCATTTCCCCAAACTTCCCCAGCTCCATGATTTCAAGCATCCCATTCTCAGACTGTTCCCAGCATTTGGGAGTGGGTCCCAACTCGGGCAATCCTTGGACTCCATGGGACCTTCAATCCATTGATCCTATCACCTTTCCTTTGTTCTCTACTCCTTTATGTCCTCACCTCCCTCCTTCCCACAGCCCGCCACAGTCACTCCTCTGCCCACACCCTCTGCTCTCTGACCCTCTTTCCCTCCATCACACCCACCTGCAAAACCCTAGCGCTGTCCCTTTAGGCCGACATGGCTGGAGAAAAATCCACAGCCCTGCTGACTGTGGTCTTGCTTTAAATTCATGACCACTAACCTCAAATGGGCACTTAATAGCACTGCCTGGCAATCCTACCACATTTGCCTTGTTCCTTTGCTCTCAAACTCTCCCAGAAGATAACTCTTTCCTATCTGCTTCTCTCTCTCCCAACCTCCTTAGTCTCTCCCACCCTCACCATTCTCAGGAAGTAGGGTCCGTGGCTATTTCACCAAGATAAGAGAAGCAGTAGAAGAGAATTTCCCTATGTTCCCGCCTCTGCAGCCGCTGGCACTGGTGCACCTGGACCCACACACTCTCTTCCCTCCTGTGCCTAGCTTCTCCCTGTGTCAGTGACCTGGCCTCCTGGCTTTTTGGCAAATGGGTTAAGTAGACTGAGGTTCAGGGGCTTTGCACTTGCTCTTCACTCTGCTTGGGAGTTCGGAGACCCTCCTCCTAGATCAGTGGCATGCCCCCTCTCTTCCTCCAAGACCTCTTATTCGGGAGCTTTACCCTACCCCTATAGAAATAGCAACCTCCCCCATTCCCAATCCTTTCTACCTTGCCTCTTCCATCCCATGTACCACCCACTACCTAGCATATTTGTGTATTTATTATTATTTGTCTTCTTTGATGAGAGCAGGGATTTTTATCTGTGTAGTTTGCCACTATAATTAGAACAGTGCTCCACTCATTCGTTCGTTCATTCATTCATTCATTCAACAGGTGTTTAATAAGCTCCTACAGGGTGCTAGATACTACTCTAGGCTCTGGGAGAATAACAATGAACAGAACAGACTAAAAGTCCTGCTCTTTTGGCTAAGAAGGTAGTTAGGTAGTGATAGGGAAAGAGGGTTATAAAATACGGGTGTTTGGGAGGGGTGGGTAGAATTTTAGATAGAGTGGCCAGGGTAGGCCTCATTGAGAGTGGAACACTTGGGTGAAGACCTGCGGGAGTTGAGGGAGGGGAGGAGACAGCTAGTGTGGAGGCCCTGAGGTGGGACTGTGCCCAGGTTGCTCCAGGACTTGTGAGGAGGAGGCCAGTCTGACTTGAGGAAGTAGGCAAGGGAGAGAGGTAGGAGACCAGGTGAGAATGGGAAAGGAAGAGTCAGGAGGGCAGATCAGGTAGGGTTTTGTATACATTGTGAGAACTCTTGTTTTGAATGAAATGGGGAGCCAAGGGAAGATTTTTTCATACAATGATATTAAAACACAAGCCATATTCAAGCTTTGACAATTGTCCCAATAATGTCCTTTTAAAAAAAGTATCCAAGTTTTTATTACCATTTAAAGAAATAACTTGACAAAGGGCAAAATCAAATTGCAAAGCATGTATAGTATTCATAATTATCATTTGTGGCTACTAGGACTGCTCTAAGAAAGGTCATGTGTAGGTTAAAATGTAATAATTTTATAATTTTTATAACATAAAAAATAAGTGTTATCATGTCATTTTATAACTTCCCCCACAGTCCTGGATCCAATCAAGGATCACACACTGCATTTAGTTGTCATGTCTTTTTTAAACAGCTTTATTGAAATAAAATTCACATACCATATAATTTACCCATTTAAAGTGTACGATTCAATGGCTTTTAGTATATCCACAGAGTTGTGTAACTACCATCACAGAATAATTTTAGAACACTTTTTTTTATCCCCAAAAAGAAACTCTGTAACCTTTAGCTATCACTCCCCCCCAACTTCCCTACTGCCCCAAACACAGGCAACCACCATTCTACTTTCTGTCTCTATAGACAGGCCTCTTCTGGAACTTCATATAAATGAAAGCATCCAATACGTGGTCTCTGTGTCTGGCTTCTTTCATGTAGCATAATGTTTTCAAGGTTCATTCGTGCAGCATGTGTCAGTATTTCATTCTTTTTAATGACTGAATAATGTTCCATTGTGTATATAGCACATTCTATTTATCAGGAAGGGGTTTTGAGCAGAGGAGTGACCTGATCTGAGTGGCATTTCACAAGGCTCACTCCAGCTGTTGTTCCAAGGAGCAGAGAATGATGAACTGTGTCAAATGATGCTTTTAGGGGAAATAAGATGAGGCCCAAGATTCGACCAGTAAGTGCTCAAATAGTTTAACGAAGAAATTAACTGAAACATTCCGATCTATAGTTTATAAATGGTATTTTATGTGTTTTATGGGATTTGTTGCATTTCCTTTGAATAATTAAACATGAAATGCAGAAATAAATTAAGAAATAAGAATTTAAAATAGAATGTGGGCATGTAAAGGTCCATGAACAATTGGAGAGTACTATTAACTTACCTCGGTCTTTGATATTTTCTTTATATTGATGGTAATGATTCTTTGGGTTCATGAGAAATTTATTCCTCAGAGTAATTATTCCTCTCTAAACATAACTCAACATTATGGTAATTATCCAAGATTTCATGCCAGCTTCCAGAGAGCTAGCCAAGGGAAAAATTAATTCTTACAAAAAGATATGCTCAATGTCTATGCAGATTAGATGAGAGCCAGCTTGTTTTTATTTTAGGGGGTTGGTGTCATATAAAAGATAGTAGAAATTGGATCAAAAATTGAGTTCCATTGTGGCATCTGTCATTATTTGGAACAACTAGGTTACCTACTCGAATCATTAGATACTGAACTGGCACAAAGCGCATTTATTGATTCGGGGTTTGGTATAAGCACATGCAATAGTACCAGGCTATCCAATTCTGGGTACGTGCAACTGCCGGGGCTCGCAGAACATCGGAAAGTTAGTGAAGGGCAATGGAAACTGGACATGACAAGGGGAGCCTCGAAAGATAATTGTCAAAAACGCACTCCACGTTTAACGATAGGGTTCGGAGGGCGCGGTAGACGGGTGATGAGCAGTTCAGAAAATAAATACTGAACACCGAACTTCATTTGAGGATAATGCACCAAGTCCGCTCCACCGGGACTAAAGGAAGCAGGAGGAGGAAAGTTGTTTTTTTCTCCTCGGAATAAATGGGGCGTGGGGCCGCAGGCGGGGGGTGGGGGTGGGGGGTGACTGGCCCCGCGGCCCCGCGCTCGCGCTAACCGGCCGGGAATTTGGAGAGGATCCCTGGTCGCGCGGCGGCGGCGGCGGCGGCGGCGGCGGCGCGCGGGTGCGCGTGTGAGCGAGCGAGCGAGCGTGCGGGCGGGCGAGTGCGCCGGGTATTGGCAGCCGAGGAGTGGAGGCTGGGCGGCTCCGACTCCCTGACGCCAGCGCGACCAGATCAATCCAGGCTCCGGGAGCGAGCGAGCGGGCGAGCGAGCGAGCGGGCGGGCGGGAGGAGGAAGGAGAGGCCGAGCGGCTCAGCCCGGGCCGAGGCGCGGGGAGGGACCCTGCGAGCGCAGCGCGGCGCAGCGCCCCGCCGGCGGGACCGGGGCCGTGGGAGCCCGCTCGCCCGGTCACTCGTGCGCCCGCGCGGACGGGCGCGCCGCCAACCCGGTAAAACGAAACAGACCCGAACCCAACTTTCTCCTTTGCCGCGTCCCCGCCCTCCCTCGGCGCCCAGGGCTTTCCAGCGCCGCCGCCGCCTCTTGTGGGGCAAGCGCGGGCCCGCGGCGCTGCCGCGGTTGTGCGGGGCCGGTGACGCGGGCCGCGGCGGGGAGGGGGCTCTTCCCCGCGTGGGGCGGACTGGGGGACCCCCCCCCCATGATGGCGCCTCCCGACCGCTCCGAGGAGCGAACCTGCCACCTCCTCCTGCTCTGGCGCCCCGCCGGCCGGGCAGGGCTCGCCGGGGTTCCCCTCGCGTCTTTGTTGGGTCTGCGGTGGGGAAGCCGCGCTCCTCGGCCCCGAGCCTCGCCCCCGGCCCTGGCAGCGGCGGGACCTCGCCTCCCGCCCTCCCCCTCCGCCCGCTCCCCGTTTCTCTTTCCCTTTCCGCAGCCGGGCCGAGGCCCGTCCGCGCTGCCCGCGGGCCCATTGTGTCCCGCGCCGGCCCGGGCGACCCTTGCGGGAGTTGGGGGGCAGCGGCGGGCGCTGCCCTGTGCGCGGTCGGCGCCTCGCGGAGCGGGTCTGGCACGAGGGGGACACCTGGTGCCCCGCGCCCCTCCGCATCCCAGACGGGGTCCTTTCTCTGCCCCAACGAGCCTCCTGGGGGTCGAGGTCAAGGAAAGTTCGCACCGAAATTCCTAATTTATTCAAAGGCTTGGCGGCGGCGCGTAATTTTTTTTTTTTTCCCTCTTCCGCCTACACCCAGTGCGTCTCCCAAGTGTCGTCTCATTCCTTTCCCTTTACCGGATTCGATTGCCTCACTGCATGTGTATTTGTGAGTTCGCTGTTGAACAACTGTTCATTTACTCCACTCTCTGTCTTTGTTAGCGTTTCTCGGGGTGGTTGCCGTAGGAAGGTGGCGGGGGGAGTGGGTGTGAGAGAGACAGACATGGGCTTGTTTTTCTAGTTGCTTAATATACATGTGGGCTTAAAGGGAGAACGTTTCCTTGATGTACTTTAGGAAGGGAGGAAGAACAAATGCCTGCCGGATCTTACAACTACAGTAGCTGCGGCTTTTGTTTATTTTGAGGCGCATACGATTTTTCGATCTACTGTGCAAGATAGCCAGTGAGACGCTTCCCTGCTGGAAACTGAGGCGCATCTCAGCACCATCTCCTTGAGAAAGCATCGTTTTCGTGAGTGCTGGGGCAGCCGGCCTTTTCCTTTGCCCTCCTGTTCTCTTCTTTCCGTTGTATCTGAAGTTTCAGAGTGTGTGGAATGATACAGAAGTCGCATGATTTCAGTATGTCATCCTGTTGCTGAAACTCTTGGCACCTCAATCACAGAATGCCTTCATTTCAGAACATTTCTTGCTCTGATTGCCTGTGGTGGGTAACATGCCTACTTTCAGTAACAATGAGAAAACTGTTCCCTGCCCATGTTGACTTTTCATCTTGTTTCTAATTACCACTTTACGTTTTATGGGAGGTAGCTGAGCTGTATTGGAACCACTATTTCAAAACAAAACAAAACAAAAAAAATCGAGGCAGGACCCAGGTTCAGGGCCCCAGCATTTTCATGTAGTAGAAATATTTTGCATTATTGTTATTCTGATGTAGGTGCCAGGCCTCAGTATGCTGAACTGATTAAGGTGTTTGTCCTTCTCTCTCCCTCTCTTTCCCATTTGCAGTTATCTGATATTTCTCTGCAGGTGGTATACATTTGTATGATATTGCAGTTCTTAGGAAACTGTAACCAGGGTCTTGAGAGATGATTTTCTAGAGGTGGGTGATGCCAGAGCCTCTGGAGGATCCAGGCAGGATCGGGTTTCTTCTGAGGGTAGGGATTTGTCCTTGATTTAGTTTTGACCCCTCCAACCACAGGTAGGTAACCAAATACATTTTTCCTTTTTGTAGTATCCATTGGTTTTATACCCTTGAAGAGCTGATGACCTTTGCATTTTAGAGAAATGACCGTTTTTTAGGCAATTAAAAATGTTAACCTCTTACAGCGCTTGGAATTTAAGTAATTTTTTCCTACTAAGTTCATTAAAGCATTAAGTAAATCCCATTTTCCCACATACAATTTATCAGTTAAAAACTAAATTTCAGTTTGTGATTTTGATTTATAGTAATTCTGGTTCAAAGATAAAATTTAATGACTTGGTTAGATAGGAAGAAGAAGAGACTGGGGTGTAATTAGATGACTATATTTAAGCTGTAGTTGCCTACATAATCAAGGCCAAGTTTTGTGTGTATAAAAGATCTCATTTGTGTAGTCTTACAAGGCTAATGGAGGCATCGTTGAGACTTTATAAATAATGTAAGTTGTGTATAATGTAGAGTCTCCAGAGACAGCAGAGAAAGCATCATTACCAGCCTTTTCAACCTGCTTGAGATCTTAAATTGATTTACAGCACTGAACTGGTGCAAAATGATACATCAGGATGACATGGGGTCAGCCTGTAAAAGTCTATGATGTCAGCCTATTAGTTCAGTCATCATAATTAAACCATATTACAGGGGCAGCTAAGCAGGAGTCTGGCGTTATACTTCAGATATGGGTGGTACATGGATTTTGTTTATAGTGGAAAGGCTGAGCTGCCCAGGAACACTAGTGTTTCTGAGAGAGGGAAAGGCTTACAGAACTCTGAATTTCTGAAGAAATTGAAGATAAACGAAAGGATATTCAGTCTGCATTGTCTAAGTAGCTTTCCATTTGGTAGGGGAGAGACAGATGCACTGGGGGTTCTGATAAGGACCTTTGCAGCTCTTGATCCTGTGTACTGAATCAGGCTTCATGTGAGCTTGAATTTAACGTGGCCTTAGGGACCTTCTTAGGGTCCACGTACTTCTTATCTCTGATCCTTTCATTAATACTGAGTTGCACAGTATTGATTGATCAGCTGGCATGTTATTTCTTTAACTAGTCACGGTTACCAGGTCTCCAGTGAAAGCAAAGATATTTGAATTGAATGTATGAACAGTTCAGGAAAAGAAGACTTGTTTTTTGATGAAATTTCTGGCAGTCTTTATTCAGTTTATGGGTCATCTGGGGAGGTGCTATCCAATAAGGTAGCTATAGCTACATATGGGTATTTAAATATAAGTAAAATTGAAATTCATCTTCTCAGTAGCACTAGCCACATGTGGCTAGGGGCTACCATATTGGACAATGTATATTGAACATTTCCATTTTCACAGAAGGGTCTGCTGGACAGTGCTGCCCTAGGACCTTTGCTTCTGCTTTTCCTTTCTACTCCTCTTTCAGCTACTTCTCTGCTTACTACTTCTAATGAGTTTGTGGGGTCAGGAAAAGTAAGGGATGTATCATTAATTTTTCCAACTACTAGTTGCTCTTGATAAAATAAAAAACTGGAAGTGATAATTGAAGTACTGGCTAAAATGAGATTGATTTTTCTCTGGATCATATTTATCATAGACCCTAATTTGGTTTAGAATGTAGTTAATATTTTTCTGAGTTTTTACTGTATGCTTATTTTTAATACTCATACCTTATTGAAACCCCAAAACTTACATAAGTACTGTTGTTATCACATTTTACAGGCAAAGAAACTTGAGTTCGGGGTGATTCAGTGTCTTGCCTCAGGCTACATAACTAGTGAGTGATTATGATTTATAATCTTAGCTGGGTTATGAACAGGCAGTCTGACTCTAGAGCCTCACTTTTAACTAATTAACTATATATGTATATATTTTTTAATTTATATTTATATGTATACTTTTTCTGTCCAGAATATTCAAATAATCATTGTTCTGCTGGGTTTTACTATTCCAGTATGGATATGACTTGACTTTTATTTTTTAGGCTTTTAGACAGATTTGCCCTCTGTTGTGCTTTTCCGGGCTGTCTTCTTTTGAGTGCTTAAGAAGAAACATAATGTTTACATTATACATATTTAAGCAGAACATAATTGGAAGAATAAATCTGACAAAAAAGTAAGGCATTTCAGTGCTGAATTATTTTCATCTCTGCTTTTCTGGATAATTCCTGCCACTTTCCCCATGTGTTTTTTCTTGTAATATCACAAGTTGATGGTAGTGAAGAGAAAAGTTCTACTAGTTCAGTTTATCTCATCAAAATTAGTCTTCTCTTAGCTGTTAGATCCTGTACTTTGAGATGAAAATAGTTCATGGCAAATCCTGGAATTTTTTTTTTCCACATTTAATGTCTACTTTTTTGTAGTCTAGGCAGTTACTCTAAACCCTTTTTTTTTTTTTGGTCAGGCTGTTTAAGAATCTGATGAAACCATGGATCCAGTATCTGCTCATTCCCATCCTCCAATCCAAAGATCCTCCAATGCAAAAATGTTTATATGCCCTGGTGAGCTTGTATACACAAGTACCCAAATTGCATGATATTTCAGGTGAAGGACATCCATGGAATAGTCTTGCCAAGTGCGTTCATAAACATTAAGATGTGTAATTTCCTTTGTAGAGAATAGAGATATTTAGTGTTAAAAGCTGCTTTGAAGATTTTCTAATCCTGTTGGTTCCTATCAAGCTAAGCAATCTGAGGCCCAGAGAAAACAGCCAACTTGCCTAGAGTCACTCACCTAAGTGACTAGAAGAGGGAAAGCCAGAACCCAGACCACTCTTACAGTTGTTGAGTTCTCATTTGTTTATCCTTTCCTTCCACGCTCATTGTGTTACTAAGGTTTTGCTCTGAGCATATCCAGTGTAATTTTGGGAGGGGAGGAAAGGATAAGTTTTGGCCTGGCATCGACTTTTTTGTACCTAACATTGAGCCGAATAAGAATCAAGTCTGACAATCTCAGAGATATTTTTTACAGATTAAAATTGATATTTTTCATTGTAGAGGTGGAAAGGAAAAGCCCTATGTCTCATTTAATCAATGGGACCTTGCTAGAAAATGGGAGATCTAAGATTGTATCAAGATCAAATTAAATCAGTCAGTTCTGCTCTACGAATTTTCTCTCTCGACTCTAAAAAGCAAATTACGTTCTTAACCAAAAGCTAAAGTTTAGAGTATTTAAGGAAGGAGCTAGCAGGTATTAGGGAGAGAATTGGAAAGATCTGAGGAGAAGAAGGATAATTTACCTACAAGGAGGTAGAGGAATTTGATATTAAGTCATAAAATGAGGCTGATGAAGTATTCTCTGTAATGGTACTTCTATATGTGGTTTTACTGTTCTTTCTTTCTTTCTCTCCTCCTCCCTTTCTCTACCAGACTACCAGTTTATTATAAAGGATTCAGCTCAGGAACAGCAGAAGGAAGAAGGGCAGAGGGGAAGGTACAGAGGAAGGGGTGAGGAGCTTCTGTGTCCTCTCCAGGCCTGCCACTCTCCTAGCACTTTGATGTGTTCAACAACTTGGAAGCTCTGGTTTCATTTTTTGTACCAAGATTAGCAGGGGATGCTTTGATAACAAATAAGGGCATCACCTTTTTCCTCCAAACTGAAATCTCTTGGCTCTTTATATTCCTTTTCTGCTGTTACCTGGTAGTGCAGATAGTGGTGATCTGTAATCTGATTTGCAGCAAAAATACCTGAAGAGTTTTTAACACTTACTCCAGAGTAACTTTCTTTAAAAAAAAAAAAAAAAAAAAAACAAAGCTAAGTAGCATGAATGTAATTACTTAAAATCTAAATTAAAATCTTCATTTTGGTATGCGTTACTAAGATGGAGTCAGTTTTAGAGATGTACAACAAGTCCTATCAGGTAAAAAAGTAACATTTTACAGGTACTGCTGGCTGATAGGAAGAAACGAACAGCCTGTAGAACATTCATTTATGTAAGAGGGGCTGTTTTCAGACAGAAAAAGCCAAGACTTTCATAAATAGTTTAACTCCAGTGATCACATCAGAGTTTTAGGAAGATACTGGGAACTGCAGTATTTGAGCAGGTTTACATCTTTATAGTTTTTGTTATAAGCTTAAATCAGAACTCAAATCAAGACTCCCGCTTGAAAATAAAGCATCCAGCTTTTGAAGGTTTGAGGGAATCCTTACCTGGCCATTTCCCCCAAATCTCTGCTCAGTTCTAGTATTCAGATAAGGAGCCTTGTTCCCTTGTTAGGAACCCAGATCTATGGTGTGGTGGATTGGTTTCTTAATTATTTTTCTTGAGACAATAATCTTGAATTTAAAGAACACATACATACACAGCAGTTATGCGTCTATATGCTGTTGAGCTCGGAATATAGATAAATATTC